TTTTATATCTCGCTATACTCAGTCTGTGCCGTCTGTTTATACCATGTTTTATATCTCGCTATATTCAGTCTGTGCCATCTCTTTATACCATGTTTTATATCTCGCTATATTCAGTCTGTGCCGTCTGTTTATACCATGTTTTATATCTCGCTATATTCAGTCTGTGCCATCTGTTTATACCATATTTTATATCTCGCTATATTCAGTCTGTGCCGTCTGTTTATACCATGTTTTATATCCCGCCATATTCAGTCTGTGCCGTCTGTTTATACCATGTTTTATATCCTGCCATATTCAGTCTGTGCCGTCTGTTTATACCATGTTTTATATCCCGCCATATTCAGTCTGTGCCGTCTGTCATACCATGTTTTATATCCCCCCATATTCAGTCTGTGCTGTCTGTCATACCATGTTTTATATCCCCCCATATTCAGTCTGTGCCGTCTGTTTATACCATGTTTTATATCCCGCCATATTCAGTCTGTGCCGTCTGTTTATATCATGTTTTATATCTCGCTATATTCAGTCTGTGCCGTCTGTTATACCATGTTTTATATCCCGCCATATTCAGTCTGTGCCGTCTGTTTATATCATGTTTTATATCTCGCTATATTCAGTCTGTGCCATCTGTTTATACCATGTTTTATATCCCCCCATATTCAGTCTGTGCCGTCTGTCATACCATGTTTTATATCCCCCTATATTCAGTCTGTGCCGTCTGTTTATATCATGTTTTATATCCCGTCATATTCAGTCTGTGCCGTCTGTTTATACCATGTTTTATATCCTGCCATATTCAGTCTGTGCCGTCTGTTATACAATGTTTTATATCTCGCTATATTCAGTCTGTGCCGTCTGTTTATACCATATTTTATATCCCGCCATATTCAGTCTGTGCTGTCTGTTTATACCATGTTTTATTTCCCGCCATATTCAGTCTGTGCCGTCTGTTATACCATGTTTTATATCCCGCCATATTCAGTCTGTGCCGTCTGTTTATACCATGTTTTATATCCCCCCATATTCAGTCTGTGCCGTCTGTCATACCATGTTTTATATCTCGCTATATTCAGTCTGTGCCGTCTGTTTATACCATATTTTATATCCCCCCATATTCAGTCTGTGCCGTCTGTTTATACCATGTTTTATATCCCCCCAGATTCAGTCTGTGCCGTCTGTTTATACCATGTTTTATATCCTGCCATATTCAGTCTGTGCCGTCTGTTTATATCATGTTTTATATCCCGCCATATTCAGTCTGTGCCGTCTGTTTATATCATGTTTTATATCTCGCTATACTCAGTCTGTGCCGTCTGTTTATACCATGTTTTATATCTCGCTATATTCAGTCTGTGCCGTCTGTTTATACCATGTTTTATATCTCGCTATATTCAGTCTGTGCCATCTGTTTATACCATATTTTATATCTCGCCATATTCAGTCTGTGCCGTCTGTTTATACCATGTTTTATATCCTGCCAGATTCAGTCTGTGCCGTCTGTTTATACCATGTTTTATATCCTGCCATACTCAGTCTGTGCCGTCTGTTTATACCATGTTTTATATCCCCCCATATTCAGTCTGTGCCGTCTGTTTATACCATATTTTATATCTCGCTTTATTCAGTCTGTGCCGTCTGTTTATACCATGTTTTATATCCTGCCATACTCAGTCTGTGCCGTCTGTTTATACCATGTTTTATATCCCCCCATATTCAGTCTGTGCCGTCTGTTTATACCATATTTTATATCTCGCTTTATTCAGTCTGTGCCGTCTGTTTATACCATGTTTTATATCCTGCCATACTCAGTCTGTGCCGTCTGTTTATACTATGTTTTATATCCCCCCATATTCAGTCTGTGCCGTCTGTTTATACCATATTTGATATCTCGCTTTATTCAGCCTGTGCCGTCTGTTTATACCATGTTTTATATCCCGCCAGATTCAGTCTGTGCCGTCTGTTTATACCATGTTTTATATCCTGCCATACTCAGTCTGTGCCGTCTGTTTATACCATGTTTTATATCCCGCCATATTCAGTCTGTGCCGTCTGTTTATACCATGTTTTATATATCGCTATATTCAGTCTCTGCCGTCTGTTTATACCATGTTTTATATCCCCCCATATTCAGTCTGTGCCGTCTGTTTATACCATATTTTATATCCCCCCATATTCAGTCTGTGCCGTCTGTTTATACCATGTTTTATATCTCGCTATATTCAGTCTCTGCCGTCTGTTTATACCATGTTTTATATCCTGCCAGATTCAGTCTGGTCAGTTTAACCAGACATGTTTCTCAGAGAACCCCTACATTAAGCATTAGGTACACTCTCTTCAGTTCCTATTTGAGGTAAATGGTATTCATATATCCTCACAATGGCCTCAATATGTCCATCCAATGCCAAACCTGCCGAACCTTACCTACCTGAGCATCCGGGGCCAGGGTACCCCACAGGGCAGTCACAAGTGTCTGGTGCCACACACACCCCGTAGTTCAGGCACGGAGGGTGACATACAGCTGGAAACAGGAGTTATGAGAGAAAAAAATTAACCTGAAGTAGACCATACGTACAATACTTTATACCACCACTATAAAACAGAAGAAAGGGATCAGCGCTCTCTATCTATACAAAATACAACAGAAACAATAATAAATAAGTAAAAAGTGGCAGCACACCTAAAAAGTAGGGCTCCCTCACAGGCTTTACAACAGAAATGGTACAGGAAAAAGAAAGGAAGGCAGTGCCACTACAAACCACATAAATTAAAAGAGCATAGAATAGGCAGACTAGAATGCAATATATATAATAGATAATAAGCAAATAGAAGTCCAGAATAAATAGTCTGACTGGTAGATGAATCAAACAACGAGGTATATCTTTGTAGAGGTGAATACAGTCTTTTTTAGTGGGGGATTCTTCAGAGTGGTGTAGATGCGTCTTTGTACATCATATGAAATGAGAAAATAACAACTGATGGTATAGTATGTCCCGAAAGGGGTAGAAGCAATAAAAGAGTATATGGTCCTACTCACGTTTTCAAGAGCTATGGACTTAGCTCTAGTGTTGATAACGTACAGTGGTATAATCCCCTCTTATGGGATACGTGAGGTCTTAGTATTCTTTCTTGATTAGGGAACCATATGTGGAAATAAAAGCAGGAACAACAATGGTGCTCAAAGTATAAAATGCCAGAGGTGAGAAGATAAAAAAAACCAAGTGGTTACTCACATTTAGTTGAACAGACTGACTGTTCAATGAATACAGCTTGAGTGGTATAATCCCCACCTAGGATTCTTGGGAGTAATATCCTCACTGGAAAGTAAAAACACCTCTGTGCCGGATAAAAGGATGGTAGTAATAAAAAAGTAAAATAATAATAGTAATAAAAAGTAAGATGGCTAACTCACAGTAAGAAAGTGGCCAAAATACCTTTATTTAAAACAATATAGTTTAAAAAAACCACAACGCATTTCGCCCTTAGGCTTTATCAAGTGGAGATCACTTGATAAAGCCTAAGGGCGAAACGCGTTGTGGTTTTTAGCCATCTTGCTTTTTATTACTATTATTATTTTACTTTTTTATTACTACCATCCTTTTATCCGGCACAGAAGTGTTTTTACTTTCCAGTGAGGATATTACTCCCAAGAATCCTAGGTGGGGATTATACCACTCAAGCTGTATTCATTGAACAGTCAGTCTGTTCAACTAAATGTGAGTAACCACTTGGTTTTTATCTTCTCACCTCTGGCAATTTATACTTTGAGCACCATTGTTGTTCCTGCTTTTATTTCCACATATGGTTCCCTAATCAAGAAAGAATACTAAGACCTCACGTATCCCATAAGTGGGGATTATACCACTGTACGTTATCAACAGTAGAGCTAAGTCCATAGCTCTTGAAAACGTGAGTAGGACCATATACTCTTTTATTGCTTCTACCCCCTTTGGGACATACTATACCATCAGTTGTTATTTTTCATTTCATATGATGTACAAAGAGGCATCTACACCACTCTGAAGAATCCCCCACTACAAAAGACTGTATTCACCTCTACAAAGATATACCTCGTTGTTTGATTCATCTACCAGTCAGACTATTTATTCTGGACTTCTATTTGCTTATTATCTATCATATATATTGCATTCTAGTCTGCCTATTCTGTGCTCTTTTAATTTATGTGGTTTATAGTGGCGCTGCCTTCCTTTCTTTTTTCTATACCACCACTATAAGCCCACCTACAGTACATTATACCCCACTATAAGCATGCCTACAGTACATTATACCCCACTATAAGCCCACATCATACTTCACTATAAGCTCACCTACAGTACTTTATACCCCCACTATAAACTCACCTACAGTACTTTATACCCCACTATAAGCTCGTCCCACTTTATACTCCCACTATAAGCACCTACGGTACTTTATACCCCCACTATAAGCTCACCTACAGTATTGTATACCCCACTATAAGCTCATCTATAGTACTGTATACCCTCACTACAAGCCCACCTACGGTACTTTATACCCCCACTATAAGCTCCCCTACGGTACTTTATACCCCACTATAAGCCCACCTACAGTACTTTATACCCCAATTTAAGCACACCTACAGAACTTTATACCCCCACTATAAACTCACCTACAGTACTTTATACCCCACTATAAGCCCACTACAGTACTCGCTCTCTCATACTGCCTCTGTGACGGTCACTCTCTGTATAACACTCTCTCACTGCCTCTGTTACTGTCACTCTCTGTATAACACTCTCTCACTGCCTCTGTTACTGTCACTCTCTGTATAACACTCTCTCACTGCCTCTGTTACTGTCACTCTCTGTATAACACTCTCTCACTGCCTCTGTTACTGTCACTCTCTGTATAACACTCTCTCACTGCCTCTGTTACTGTCACTCTCTGTATAAAACTCTCTCACTGCCTCTGTTACTGTCACTCTCTGTATAACACTCTCCCATGACTTGATCTGTTTCCTATCTTCATATTGAGGACTCTCCTGATTTGGTTCCCAGGTTACATGTTGCTGTGTGGCTAATTGCGGCCGCCATCTTACGCTTGCATTTAGTTGGGTCATCGGGCCGCAGAGTGAATCCCTTAGAGCAGCTGCAGTTATATGTTCCTGGGAGGTTCTGGCACTCCTGTTCACAGCCCCCGCGGGTGAAGTCAGCACATTCATCGAGATCTGGCGAATGAGAAGAGTCAGTCAGATAGCAGCAGCCAGTAATACTTAGTGACATGGAAAGAGTCAGTCAGTGGGCAGTGCCAAGCAATGCCGGGGTAGGCTACATAGAGATAGCAGCGGCCGGTAATACTTAGTGAAATGGAAAGAGTCAGTCAGTGGGCAGTGCCAAGCAATGCCAGGGTAGGCTACATAGAGATAGCAGCAGCCGGTAATACTTAGTGACATGGAAAGAGTCAGTCAATGGGCAGTGCCAAGTAATGCCGGGTAGGCTACATAGAGATAGCAGCAGCCGGTAATACTTAGTGACATGGAAAGTCAGTCAGTGGGCAGTGCCAAGCAATGCCGGGGTAGGCTACATAGAGATAGCAGGAGCCGGTAATACTTAGTGACATGGAAAGAGTCAGTCAGTGGGCAGTGCCAAGCAATGCCAGGGTAGGCTACATAGAGATAGCAGGAGCCGGTAATACTTAGTGACATGGAAAGAGTCAGTCAATGGGCAGTGCCAAGTAATGTCGGGGTAGGCTACATAGAGATAGCAGCAGCCGGTAATACTTAGTAACATGGAAAGAGTCAGTCAGTGGGCAGTGCCAAGCAATGCCAGGGTAGGCTACATAGAGATAGCAGCAGCCGGTAATACTTAGTAACATGGAAAGAGTCAGTCAGTGGGCAGTGCCAAGCAATGCCAGGGTAGGCTACATAGAGATAGCAGCAGCCGGTAATACTTAGTGACATGGAAAGTCAGTCAGTGGGCAGTGCCAAGCAATGCCAGGGTAGGCTACATAGAGATAGCAGCAGCCGGTAATACTTAGTAACATGGAAAGAGTCAGTCAGTGGGCAGTGCCAAGCAATGCCAGGGTAGGCTACATAGAGATAGCAGCAGCCGGTAATACTTAGTAACATGGAAAGAGTCAGTCAGTGGGCAGTGCCAAGCAATGCCAGGGTAGGCTACATAGAGATAGCAGCAGCCGGTAATACTTAGTGACATGGAAAGTCAGTCAGTGGGCAGTGCCAAGCAATGCCAGGGTAGGCTACATAGAGATAGCAGCAGCCGGTAATACTTAGTGACATGGAAAGAGTCAGTCAGAGGGCAGTGCCAAGCAATGCCGGGGTAGGCTACATAGAGATAGCAGCAGCCGGTAATACTTAGTGACATGACTGTAAATCCTCTTATACTCTATAGGATTAGCCGGTACTTCCAAGTCACTAATGGTGGGAGCTTCAGTTCCGAAGCTAGAGCGGCCATTTAGCCGTGTAATGACTTCTTGGTAACGTTTACCAAATACAGTGGAAAGGAGCCGTTCGTCCCCAGCGCAATACAGGGAAAATGAAATCTCCTATCTATCGGACCATAACAACCACCGGTCAATGTCAGAGTAATGTGCGAACCCCAGGCTCCAGAGAGAACACTAAGAAACTCCTACTATACCCCAAAAATATACTCTGGCTTCTCAGTGTCTATCATAACAAACAGATATTCACACTTTGGCCTTGATTTAATATTTTTGTATAAGTTTATTAAAAAATATAAAAAATTATTTGAAACATTTAGCCAACAATATTAAAGTTAGGCCTTTGTCGCTGACTGCCCCCTAGAGGTTGATATCGCTGTTCGTGCAGCTCTTAATAAAAAGTAACAAATGGTAAATTGGTGAAAAACTGGAATCTCACCATCACACGTCTTTCCATTCCTGCTGAGGACCCAGCCCGGGTGGCACTGACATTCAATGCTGCCCTCCGGCCTCTTACTGCAGACATGCTCACAGCCGCCGTTCTGCAGGGCACACGACGTGATGTCTGCCAACGAAAGGCTGCCATGTTTATTGGGGACGGAGAAAGCGAGATCTCTGGGTTACAGAGCCACATCAATAACATAGAGTCCAGAGGAGAAACATGTATTGTGACACCCCAAATATTCCAAATAAATATAACTGTCATTGAGTAAAACATTAAACATCACCCATAACCAGTTAATAACTCCCCATTAGCCAGAGATGGAGGCACCCACTTACTTATTTTTAACTCTTCACAAAAAAATATTTGTTAAATATATTGATACGTAAACAGAATATTAAAGTTCCCATTAAGCCCCTAAATTACCAAGACCTTTTCAATAAAACAATTACTTTTCAGAGATTGTCCTGAAAATGAAGCTGTTTTATGTATTATATACATAGATTCTATTTGAGATAGACTGTTCAGAAATACATAAAATAGTAAAATATCTCTATTTATAAAAGAGTTGTTGACTTGTTTAGATTTGTGCAGTCACTGTTGGGAAGTGGCAGTGAAGGTGGTAGATATTGGGGTTCAGTATGAAGATGTTCTCTGGGAGGGGAGGTGGAAGTGAAGGTGGCAGATTTGGGGGTTCATTATGAAGATGTTCTCTGGGAGGGGAGGTGGCAGTGAAGGTGGTAGATTTTGGGGTTCAGTAGGAACATGTTCTCTGGGAGGGGAGGTGGAAGGGAAGGTGTTAGATTTTGGGGTTCATTATGAAGATGTTCTCTAGGAGGGAAGGTGGAAGTGAAGGTGATAGATTTTGGGGTTCATTATATAGAGATCTTCTGTAGGAGGGGAGGTGGAAGTGAAGGTGGTAGATTTTGGGGTTCAGTATGAAGATGTTCTCAGGGAGGGAAGGTGGAAGTGAAGGTAGTAGATTTTGGGGTTCAGTAGGAAGATGTTCTCTGGGAGGGGAGGTGGAAATGAAGGTGGTAGATTTTGGGGTTCAGTATGAAGATGTTCTCTGGGAGGGGAGGTGGCAGTGAAGGTGGTAGATTTTGGGGTTCAGTAGGAACATGTTCTCTGGGAGGGGAGGTGGCAGTGAAACTGGTAGATTTGGGGGTTCAGTAGGAAGATGTTCTGCAGCTGGAAGAAGACGTGGCAATGATGGTGGTAGATTTTGGGGTTCAGTTTGAATGTTTTCTGGGAGGGGAGGTGGAAGTAAAGGTGATATATTTTGACGTTACAAGGAAGATGTTCTCTGGGATGGAGGTGGCAGTGAAGATGGTAACTTTTGGGGGGATTGGGTAGGAAGTTCTTTGGGGGAAGTCAGCAGTCTATGGGTTTTGGAAGGAAAGGGTTTAGCATATACCCCCTCAGGGGAGCCTGCATGCTTCTTTTTCTATCTATTTCTCATCATCGTCATCATCATTATCATTATCTGGTGAATTCAGGAATAACATTATCTGGAAGTTATTTCCCAAACATATTCTCCATTCAGCACAAGATCCGAATACATCCCCCACTGCTAAACTCCATCTGTGAACGTTTACTCCCATAAGCCTTTGGTAACCAGTGGAAGGATGGACAGACAGACAGATTGATCCAGATTAAGTGATATCCATATTCTGTCCTTCACTCACTAATGCAGGTTCTACGGTCCGGGGCGAGAGCCTGGTGAACGGGGCACAGACACAGGAAGCTGCCATCTGTGTTATTACATGTGTGAGAGCAGCCTCCATTCCCAATTTTACACTCGTCGATATCTGGAAAACGACACAAAGTATTCCTGAGACGGTCTGACAGCCAGTAGGACAAAATGAGATGATATTTAATAAGAAATAAAAGGATCACAATAAACGTGGGAATTATCCACTAAACACTGAATTGTGCTGATCTGAAACCTCGATTGCACATTTCTCTAACGGCAGCAGATTGAGAACTTGCCAGATTACTCTCTTTGTCCGTAATTTGCAGTTTCTTTTTAAAGTCACTACAATGCGCAGTTTAGTGAATAAACCCCTTTGAGATTCGCTGAAGGACTGAGGTACAGTATTCAGAAAGTAAAGCAGCGAGGGGTTAATTAGCAGCTAATTAAAAATAGCTTGTTAAGAGAGATATAGTTGCAGGTTGGATATTTTAACCTACATTTTGTATCTGGGTTTCAGCTTTGCTACAATCCAGAGTTCAGTGAATAATCCTCGTTTTTATTCCCAAATTCCCACCTTCCAGCATTTCTGTAATATGGTAACTTTCTGAAAGTGTATTTTTAGAGCTTGGGGGCACCCAGTGGTGAGATTTGTAAATGCACACATTACCATTGCAGATCACACGTCTCGAGCTTATGTGTTTTTTAGTGATCCTTTTATTTATTTTTTTACTTTTGCCAGTCATACCAACCCACAGTATAGCATTGGCTGAGAATTGCTTATTTACAGAAATATGACTGTTCCCATTTTGCATTAGATTTAAGGCTGGCTGTTGTGATATTTAAATCCACCAATCGCTCATTCTCACCAACACATCCCCTGAGGTCCACGTGGAGCTGGAATCCCTTCCGACAAAGACATTCGAATGATCCAAACGTGTTTCTGCAGATCTGCATGCAGTTCCCATTGTTTGTCTGACACTCGTCAGCATCTGTCAATGTTAGTGAAATCAGCTTAGTAAATATCACAAGGCAGCTGGTATAAAACACACCGATCCAGACACAACAAGGCGATGCTCGGATTAATTAGGACAGGTTTTTTTTACTTTACCCAATATACGAGGCAGACCGGCAGGCAGATGGAGTTTTGTAACAGTTCTTTGAGTGAGGATGTCTGCGCCCTGACCTGTATACTGAGGTGCAATGTCACTGGGGCACACCATTCCCAATTACAAGCACAAAGTAGATATGGACACAAAGTCCATTTTAACAGTTTGTAAAAGCTGCAGATCTCTTGTCTGCAGCCTTTGCAAGTCTTCCCCTCTCTCCCAAGCACTGACTTTCCGTGTGTGCTGGGAATACACCAATCAGAGGTCTCTCACTGAGTTCCTCTGCGCTGAAATGGAAAGTGACGCACACATGTATGCGATGGTGGCTTCCTACGTTTCTCAGTGCTGTAATTAAGCTCATTGAGAAGGGGGAAAGGAAGGCACATTCTAACCAAGCACTCCTGCTGCTTCGATCGGCTCAGTGGAGCTAACCGAAGGGGAGGAAAAGCTCACTGGCATTCTGATTGACCACGATTGTCTGACCACGATTGTCTGATTGGCCACTATTGTCTGATTGGCCACGATTGTCTGATTGGCCGCTATTGTCTGATTGACCGTTATTGTCTGACTGACCGCTATTGTCTGACTGACCACTATTGTCTGACTGACTGCTATTGTCTGATTGACTGCGATTGTCTGACTGTCGGTAATTGTCTGATTGACCGCGGTTGTCTGATTGACAGCCAGGAAGGTGTTTCTATCCCCAATTACAAAAGTGTCACTTTTATAAACGGTCACAAGCATGGCAGACTCCAGACACATAAAGCAAGCTGGAGTGCTCGTATTGTCCTTTGGGGATAATGCAAATCTGGGAAAACAGCTGCTGATAATAAAGTATACATTTTATTGGAAGACATAGGGTCTGTTTTGTTGGGCTTGGCCTTATTCTTATAAAGTGTATTTCAGTCCCTGACTACAATGAGCTATGAGAAAGACGCAGTACAAATCCACCAGGACCACAAACAGTTGGTTGCTGTCATCTGTGAGTCCTGACATGACTTTATGACTTTATTGTGTCCTGTTACAATACATAGAATTACTTCATCAAAAGACAACTGTCACTGTCTCCACCCAACTGGCTGGTACAAAGAAGAGTTTTGTAACAGATCATGAGTGTGACGGATTGCATTTATGGAATTTTACAGACTGGAGTATCTCCAATTATCACCGATATCAAGGAATTCCAAGCAGTGTGCAATGAATTAAACATTAGAATTAACACATTGTAATAACAATTAAACATCCCATGCCCATCTTACCTGTACAGTTTCTGCCATCATCCTGCAGTATGTAGCCAGGGCGGCACTGGCACTCGTAGCTGCCGGCCTGGTTCACACATAGCTGGTCGCAGCTTCCGTTTCCCACTAAGCATTCATCAATATCTGTGAGGTACACGGTATTCCATTAATGGGTATTTGTAAATTAATGCGTTTTTCTGGGTATTTTTCTAAAACGTTATAGGTACTTACCGGCATGGCTTTATACCTACTTACCGGCATGGTACTATAAGTACTTACTGGCATGGCTTTATACCTACTTACCGGCATGGCTTTATACGTACTTACCGGCATGGCTTTTCTGTTAAACTTGCCTGGAAAGGCTGTGCATGTTTTAAACTGATAATACCAGATTACTAATAACAATACGGCGTGTTACACAGGACAGACAATGATGGTCAATTCTCATTTATTCAGAGTACATCTGGAGCAGCAGATTTAATAACGAGGAAAAGTCTGTAGGGTCTGTCGGTAGCGTAGATCATTAATAACAACCCATACTCCATAGGGTACATATATATATTGTTTCTACAGTAATGTGTTCATCACACTGTGCTTATAGTACATCCATCGTGCAAGTAGGACCTGCTAGTCCATTACAGAGCCCAGCATTTCATCTATATATATTGTGAAAAAAAAATTCTTGTAAATGTGTGAACAGATTTTTTTAGCTTATCTTTCTGTGCCCATGTGTCACCTGGACAAAGGTCTAAATTACAAGTTTTGTGGCTGTAGTGGGCCAGGAGCATCACAGGAGCATTCAGTTTAAAGAACAACTAACAGACCATTCAATCTATACATGTAATGGGGCGACATCTAGCATGAAGTCTGAAATATGATATTTTCGTCAATATGTATCAATATAAGCGTTTTTGTATGTTTAATTGGTTTTGGTAAACATATATGGATTTCGACCATATGGCAGGTTTAATGGTCTACGTCCTCCATTCTTACCATAGCAGCTGTGTCCATCACCATTGAAGCCCTGGTAGCACTGGCAGAAGTAGGAGCCGATGACATTCCCACAGTGAGCGTTCGAGTCACAGCCATGCTTTCCTGAGGAGCACTCATTCTCATCTGTGTGAGTAAAAGCGTAATCTCAGGTTGACCCAATGGGCGTCCATACAATATCCATTTTGAGAATGTTGGGGAGTTAACCCAGGTCTCCGTTTTTACACTGCTCAGATGTTATCCCTAATGAGGAATGCCTTCTGTATCAACACGGGAGAATCCCAGGATCTACAAACTGAAAACGGGTGACACCCCATCTCACACTGCACCCACATTCTAAGCTAAATCAAGGGGAGGTGACACCCAATCTCACACTGCACCAACATTCTAAGATAATCTGAGGGGAGGTGATACCCCATTTTACACTGTATCCATATTCTAAGATAATCTGAGGGGAGGTGATACGCCATCTCCCACTGCACCCACCTTCTAAAATAATCTGAGGGGAGGTGACACCCCATCTCACACTGCACCCACATTCTAGGCTAAGATGAGGGGAGGTGACACCCCATCTCACACTGCATCCACATTCTAGGCTAAGATGAGGGGAGGTGACACTCCATCTCACACGCACCCACCTTCTAAGATAATCTGAGGGGAGGTGACACCCCATCTCATGCTGCACCCACATTGTAAGCTAAGATGAGGGGAGGTGACACTGCACCCACATGCACTTACCTTCACAGTATGTTCCATTGCCACGAAATCCAAGCTGACAGCCACAGAGGTAACTTCCCAGCGTGTTCTCACAGATGCCACGTCCAGAGCAAATAAAGGGCTTCTCTGCACACTCGTCCACATCTTGGGGGCAGGGAGCAATCATCAAATGAAACCGTTCACTTCTATACCCTCTAAACTAGCATTAAATATCTTACTGGCTGCCCAGTCATGATCATCATGTCCACTACTAAAGGTGAACTTATACAAAACAACTAGCATGTTAACGCATTCCGATGACATGATCCCTACGCATTTTACTTACCAATACAGGTGGGTCCGGACTCACGAAACCCCGACTGACAGGCACAATGGTAACTTCCCTCTGTGTTCACACATAAATTCCCCAACTCTCTCCGACACTTCTCCTCGAAGGAGCACTCATCAATATCTGCCAGGACGAGGGAGTACTATGATACAATGTGAACTAATCCTGGTAACTGATGGTAATAATATAACACAGTCCATGTAACAGTGATTATTAACATTAATATCCCACATGCAGGGCCGCCATCAGGGCATGACAACCGTAACGGTTGTCATGGGCCCGGCGGTCCTGGGGGGCCCGGACTGCTCAGGTCGTCCGGGCCCCAGATTCAGTGGGTACATACCGGGTCACAGGGGGCCCAGCAGCCGGTCACCTCAGGGCCCCCCATAGGCTGGCCCTGCTGACACCCGGCGGGCGCGCGAGGGAGCATTCTCCTCTGTGTGCTTCCTCTTCAGCTCCCTCACGCGCCGCGTACTGATGCCGGAGCCGGAAGATGACGTCATCTTCCGGCTCCGGCATCAGTACGCGTCGCCCGAGGGAGCTGAAGAGGAAGCACACAGAGGAGAATGCTCCCTCGCGCGCCCGCCGGGTGTCAGGGAGGAAATTTGAGTGGGGGGGGAGAGGGAGGGAGGAAATTTGAGTGGGG